CCAGAGTTTTGGGGTATTCATAGCCATAGTCTAACAGTCCTGTCGACCCTACATATCTCAAGTAGCTTCCTCGACGGGTAGGATAAGGACAGGTTTCAATCGGCGATTGTGACGGTTTCCGCTGCCAACGGCGCGGACCACCGACGGGAGCCGTGGCAAGACGCTAGTACCCTTGACTGTCTATAGGGGATAACGTTATAGTTCTATCGACGCCGAGTTTCACTTGTGTTTCTGGTCATTTTTGTCTATCTGGAGGTGATTGTAGGGTACGTGTCTCTCGCCACTAATCCGTTTTGCGTAATACTCGGGGAGACCGAGCAGACCAAAAGCGCCACGGAAATTCAACGGGAAAAAAGAAAGAAATTCGATGGTTGGCTCTAGCTAAAAGGTGCACATCTTCAACTACAACCCTAACTCTCCCGCTGGCAGGATGACGAGTTAACGTCGCATAGGCGGGGCTATCCATGTAACGGATGGTGATCGACAATTGATTAATTTTTAATATCCTCGTTATCATGATCAACATGACCCCGAGACGATCCACCCGGCAAACTGGCCTCGCGGCCCTTGCTTGTACGGAATGCCGCAAACAGCATCTCAAATGTGATGCCACTCAACCGTCCTGTTCGCGCTGTACCCAGGGTGGCTTTGTCTGCCAGTATCTCCCTTCTCGCCGCGGAGGACGCCGGAAGCCACGGCATGACATTGCATATCATAATGCACAACAACATCGGCCCTCGGCTTCGAAACTGGATGATGCGTTTAGCATCAGTGCCACGCATTACTCCCCTGGGAATGGCACTGGGAATGGTATTCAAACACCTCACCGTGCAACGGGGCTACCTCTGCAAGTAACGAGTGCGCCTGGTCCGATGAACACACCGGATAGTAGCAATATCTCGTTTCCGCGGAGTAGCCGCCCAGGCCTTGTAGGTGTCCCATGGCCGGCGATCCTATCGCCGAATGATGCCAGTTCAGATCGCTTGGAGCCACCAGGGAGGTCATGGGACGAAGATGATCGCTGTGCTCGATTGTATTACGAGCACTTCCATGTGGCACACCCCATCTTGGTCCCCAGCACGTTATACAAGGATCGTGATTACCCTCCCTTTCTTCAATTGGTGGTGGAATTCGTCGGGTCCCATTACTTGCCATCCGGCCCCCGGCAGCAGCTGAAGGACAAGGTAGATGCCGCGCTAGAATCCAATCCGGACCGCTCGCCGTGTATGGTCCAGGCTTGGTTGATATACTCTATTGCCCTGTATGCCCGCGGCGAGCGACAAAATGCGCAGCAAGCATTCTCGCAAAGTGCGGAGATCGCTTTTGAGCTGGGCATGCATCGAGGAGATTTCGCTTCGTCAGTCCATCCTGAGAGATCTGTTGAAGCGGAGAGCATGAGAAGAACGTGGTGGGAGCTATACATCACGGATATATTCATGGCCGTTCCGCTCAAGACAATTACCTTTCGATGTACTACAGTCGCTCCGGAGGTCGGCTTGCCTTGCGATGAATCCGCATACACAGGATGTGGAGAGATTCCGCCGCCACGCAAGATGCTGGATTTCAAGCGCAGAGTATTTGCGGCCCAAGAAATCGCCTTCTCGTCCTTCAGCTACCGCATTGAGGCAGTAACCATTTTGTGTCGCGTCTTGGTCCTGAATCGCCTACGGGATTATCATCGCGACCATCTCCAGGCCATTGAAAATGCGCTCGTCAGCTGGGTCAATCACCTACCCTCCCGCAAACTGGATATTGTGGACTCGTATGGTAATGTGGATGAGATGATCTTCCAAGCCCATTTGATCATTGCGTATGCCACCATGTTGCTGCATTTACCACGCAGTGATCTTCGGCCGCTCTTGACACAACCCGACGACTGCTTCTGGCCATCTGCGCCCTGTCACCTCTCCTCTACCTTTCCGCGCTTGGTTCATAGTATCAAGGCGACTGAAGCCTCACGGCGTGTCTCCGACTCCATTTCCATTTGTCCCAACCTCCAAAAACACACGCCTTTCGTCATTCCCGCATTGGCTCTATGTGGTATGATCCAGCTCGCAACCTCCATCAATCACTCCGAAGAGTGCTTCGATCATCATTGCAATCGCGTCACCCTCATTCTCGGGTGTCTGAAAAGTACGAAGCGAACCTGGGGCTCCGCCGAATGTGCGTATGATTGTGTCCGATCCACTGCAGCCGACATTCTCTCGGATTCGATCGAGAAATGGAATACCGAGCCATTGAAGTCGATTCCGACACCTCGAGATTCGACCGATGTGGAGCGTATCAGCCAGAATGCACCTCCAGCAGTGACCGTTGCGGAAGGACAGGGCTTAATGATACCTGAACTTGCTCCGGGGTTCATTGATCCGACCTGCTACAATGCCTCATTCTTCAACTGCCTGGCGGATTTTGATCTCAGCTAGACCGAATTGAATCCAGTCGAGGAACCCCTGGATATGGTCTGGAAGGCAAAGCCTTTTGCGCCACTTGAGTTGTGCGCAAATACAATGCACGAATGCTTATACTCACGCTTGGATACATACCATCTTGCACGATATTACCAGATACGTACCAAGTTAGCTACGGTGAACTGCCTATATACCCTGAATTTCATCGCCCCGGGGGCAGGTGTGGTTTGCCTGCCTGTGTAACTGCCATATCCTTATGCACGCCCTACATAATCCATTAAAGAATAATGTCAAAACAAAAAAGCACTCTCGTGAAAAGTTTTATCATTGAATTCAAGCTCTATCAAATAAAATAATATATCAGAGAGGGTTCCCGCTGTTTTGATTTAAGACTTCATCGACATTGCTACCAACCAAGTCAATTTGTATCGAGGCGGCTGACAGGGCGACGTTGACTTCCACTATCTGGCATGGTGTTGAATGACCTCCCATAGTTCTGCTTGACCGGTCATGTACAAACCGAGGGCGACAAGGTGAGGATTGAGAATGGTCAAGTTGAAAGGGGTGACGAAGAGGTCAAGATCGGTCAGCATGATGGCCATAGTGCCATTGATAATACCATCATCGCCATACACGAAATGCTCCGGTGGATACGTGTAACCAGTGTTGTCACCCGTCACGGTCAATGGCGAGTAGGTCAAGTTCAATTGGGAACTCCAGACCACAAACTTGGGCTCCCCGGCAGTTGTTGTCGTGATGTATGAGTTATTTGGCCCGACACTCTTGCCTGGTGCTTTCCATTCAAGAAAAGCTTGCTTTCCAGAATATGATAGCGGCTCTGAGCGGCTGTGGGCAATCGCAGAGGCACAGTTCTTCCCGACCGCGTCCTGGTTCAAGCAGCTCTCATCCTTGGAAATGTCTGAGACTGACGGATCTGTATTACGCTTGCTAACTGTCTCGCTACCGTTGTTTGGTGTCTCATCCGGGGAAAGACGGTTGGTGTTGGTGTTGTTCAGGATTTGAAGAGTTGGGAAATTCTGCCACGCGAGATGAGTGGTACCTTCGGGGCAGCATCTGATATGGGGGGCCAGCATTGTCCATTGCCAGGACTGGGGCCATCCGTTCTCAAACCAAATATTAATGGGGGTGAGCCGCGACATCTGTCAGAAGATCAATTGCTGGTGAGCATCGGTGGTGGTTGAGAGAGACAGAAGGGTGGCAACCTGCCAAGGACGAGCAGTAGAAGTGAATTTACACCTGCTATATCTGGATATACTGAATTTGCTGGCAATGGCGCGCCCTCAATGCAACCTACACAGCTTTCAAAAACCCTTGATGATCAGCAGAGGTGCAGGACTCGTCAGCTTTTATGGATCCAGACAGGACTGCTGCGCTGGATGTGCGACAGGCTGGTGCTCTCTAAGGCTGTCAAATAATGCGCGAACAGGCCACATCAACTATAAGAGCTTGGGTATCCGCTAGGGCTTTAGTGGTCATCGTCTAGCCTGTCTTTAAACTATCAAGTTGCCGTATGAAACTCGCAATGAATCCATCAAATGTGTCTTGTGAGAAGTATATCCCACCTACGATAATTTAGTCAGATCTATCAGGTGGAGGCTTCTCGCCCTGTTTAGGGAATTTAGCGGCAGGCTATGCGTCAAATACTACTGGACATATCCTTACCTTGTTTTTCGAACAGTTCTGTTAACATTGTTCTGTTTGACTCGTACACGAGTAATACCGTGGGGGTAGATCCCTCTACTACGGGCCATGTTTCCGAGTCGGAATTTCCGACGCATAGTCCAGGAGGAAAGAATCGAAACGCAACTATCAACGATCGACAAGAACCCTTTCGAATACGGTAGGGAGACAGGGTTGAGACGCTTGTGGAGCCTGCGCACTAAGCTGGGGCCAAAAATAATCCTCTACACCGAACAGTGCTCAAGTTTGTCTCGTGGGTCAACTACCCAGGCAAAGTCCTTAATTGAAGAACAGAGCACCACGAGGTGTTCTTTTGCCCGTAGTAAATACCACGTACTAAGACCTGCTACAGCTCAGTCAATATCTTAGCGCACAATGCTGAGACCCGACGATAGAGGAAGATACGCTGCATATTCGCAGGGCTGAGCATGCAGACCTGGGTTAGAAGCTAAGATTTAGCCTGGCACCTTAGTCTGGGGCTAAAACATGACGAACGGACATAGATATGCCGAAGTAGCTGTGTAGGCTACATAGCTGCCTAGCTTCGTACACGACACGTCCAATCACCTTCTACCAGAAACCAACTTCTGTACAATGATGAACAGTGTTCAGAAACGCTCGGGATAGAGAGCACCGATCCATTTCCGATGTCTGCGATGCCCCCTCAGCACATGGCCCTTCAACTACAACCGACGATTCTGTGAGGTGATATTCAAGGCAGGAGAAGCGAAACTAAGTGCGACAAACGGCAAGCCTTTCGGTAAGACATTGAGAAGAATGATGCCTATTTAAGTCGAGTCATATCCCCGGTATTGGAAATCTGAGAAGCCAGTAAATCTACTTTAACCATATGAACTTGCACCCTCTTCTACATACTTCAATTTATTCAACATGAAGTTTGCCGCCTTCGCCTTCGTCCTGCTTTTCACTGGAGCTTTTGCGGCCCCAAAGCCTGCCGAAAAGCTTGAGGCACGCATGAACTGCGCTCAATGTATTGCAGTCTATAGTGCATCCTCTTGCACTGCCCCTGGAGCCGTCGAGAATGGATGTGGCAGTCTAGCCAGTGCGTTCAAATACCCACCGACTATGAGACATGAGCTAACATCAACTTAGTGGCTTCTTGCAAGGAATCAGGATTCTGCAGCTGAAGAATCATCCTTGCGAATGCAGTCTGTATGTGTCTCCGAGTTAGAATTTTGGAAGCTCCCTGGTTGGGATCAGAAGCTAATAAGCAACATATACGAAGGTATAATATAATAGCAGAGCGCAAAGCGCTCCGCTATGATAGGGACCTATGGAAGCTGGGCTTGGATGGCTATTGGTGGCCAACATTTGAGGCTGCTAGACTGGTGCTTCTCCGAAATAACCAATACTACATAACCCTGGTCTCGAAGACCGGTTGACCAAATATCATTCTTTTGCTCCTAAGCAATCTCAGTCGCCGTTCGGTAGTTGTATTTGGCAGGCTCATTGGTGCACAACGTGTGATCATATACTTTAAGACTTTACACAGCTCATCGCCTGGCGTGGCCTAGGATAGCAATTTTGAAGATCATAAACTGAATGGTTGCTAAAAGAGACTTTTAAATATACATTCTTTCCTCTCTAATGTTACTAGAAAATCGAGAATTACTAATATTGTATGGAAGTGGTGCAGATATCCATGCCAGATTATATATTTCCAGTTCTCCTAAACATAACTTCTAGAAGATCATAGGCGGATTATCCTGTATATATCTCTTCTGTATCACTATAACTACTGCAAATACAGCATTTGAAGTATACTACAGCAACCAGACACTGAATCTGACTACTCGTACGATTTTCCAGCATCAAGTCGAGGGCTTCTGGCGAAAAACTTACCTCATTCGGAAGGCTTACATAAAACGTGTTAGACTAACCCGATTCGTACAATACCTTCCCTTTTGGGAATGAGCCATATCACTGGGCTTGAGCAAACCCTAGCGATAATAACTTGCAATCGCAGACTCCCCTATTTCTCAAACCAGCGCAATGTTAGCAGTTGACAGAAAATGTTGTGCAGGCCTTGTCAGGGGCGAACTTTGTCCAAGTGCCTCACATCTGCGGCAGTGCTCCACTAAAAGTTTCCGTTCCGGCCGTTGTGGGCCGCGTAACAGCCGGCCATTCTTAGGAACGTTTTAGCAAAGGCCGTTCGATAACTCTGGCTATATCATTGGCAGTTTG